TACGGTTGCTTATACATATAACCTGAATAGAGGGTGCTCCTCAGCATGCCAAAGACTTTTCAAAGTCAAGTTTTAAAGGGCCTTGAAATAATCTAATCAGTAAATATGGGACAAAACATATGGCATAAGACATCTGACATCCAATATCTCAGCATGGTCACAAAGGATTATAATTGGAAGTGAAAAGATTAGCAAGGCATGGAATTAATTTGCTGTTGAGCAGTCATTTTTCTCGATTTTTTCAATATTTAATATTGCTAATTATATGAGTCTATGCAAATTTATTTTTTTCTCCATGTGTGTTCTTCTTTTCTTTTCCCTCTTTTGGGAGACTCTCCACAGCTTCTTAGAAATGAGATGTACATCATAACATTCCTTTATCCAGGGCCATGAAGAAACTGACTGTGAGACAAAGTGGGAACTTAATATCCCCAAAGACTCTTGTCTTGTTGTGAGATTGATCCAAGGGTTTGTACTTTCTCCATACAAAATAAGCGGAAGCTTTTTGTGTGTTTTTCCTTTGCCCTTTAGTAATCAATACACAGATCAAATTGCAGAGACTTTCCTCAGAATATTAGACTTAGTCAAGTCCTCTTTTTGATGATATGCTTTGCTTCTGAGTAGTCCCAAGATTTCACACACCTAAACATAATAAATTATGGATATTTTAGATATTCTATATTGTTACTTGCTCAGAGACAATGCAGTGTTCTGGAAAATTAGTTTCAAGGGAGTTTGAAAATGGTTCGTTTTCTGGGAATCGAGGGACTCAACCAGTTATATCCATTTATCATGCCTTCATCCAATAATTATTGTAGATTGTTCCAAGAATGCAACTTCATGAAACAGGTGAAAGTAGGGGTAGCCTGCTGAAAGTGCCCAGACACTGTGTCAATTTAATCATAAAACAGACGTATTGTGATTGAAGCTTACTTGCCAGAAAATAAAACAAATGTTTGGCTTCTGTGTAGATTCCCCAGGTATGGAGCAAGTACAGCACATACAAATACTGTCTTCCACCAGAAGCATTCCTGGCCCTGGGACAAGGATAACAATGAATTCATTTTTACCTGTCAGTAGAGAACAAATATGCTCCATACTGTAATGTGTGTTCTGTGCCACACACCTAAGAAACTTAATCTATGAAAAAAATTAGTATTTTGATTGACTACCTATAATCATTAGCATTATTTTATTGCTTAATCAAAACATATGCATGATGTTATTATGTCAAATATATTCATATTAATGGATAGAAGTAAAGGGTGTGCATACTTTTATCTCTATTTCAGACTTCTTGACATATACTTGAAAGCAAACACTATGATCATTTTCTTCAGAGTTACAATTGTCACTGATTTTCAGTTCAATAATTTTCTTAACCTATCCACCTCCCTATTGTTTCTGATAACTCTTCAGTGACCTTTATCATTTTCAGGCCATGACTGGGTGTCATTCTCAAGCTACACAATATCCGTCACTTTTAAAATGGTTTTCTCAACATATGAAACTTCTTTTTCAACCCCCCCATGGGAGCCTACACTAAGTTTGTCCTATGGACATAAATCTCCTTATGTAGCTTCTAACTTCACTTGTTTTTACATGCTTCTCTCACAACATAACTTG